AACGAAAATTCGAAAATCTAAAAATCCAAAATCGAAAAACCGAAAAATCAAAATTAGAAAATCGAGATTTTGAAAAATCGAAAAACCAAGAATCGAAATATGCAAAGAATGAAATATCGAATGTCCAAAAGTCGAAAAATCGAAAAATTGAAGGATTGAAAAATCGAAATATGCAAATTTAAAAAAATTAAAATTCGAATATCGAAAATCGAAAGTTGCATGAATCAAATGTTGGAAAAATCTGACATTAAAAAACAAAAATTCGGAAAGTCGAAGAATTGAAAAATCGGGAAAGTGAAAAAGCGAAAAATAAAAAAACTGAAAATTTGGATTTCGAGAAATGAAAAAATCGAAAATCGAAAGTCGGGAAATCAAAAATTCGATGAATCAAATATTCGAAAAATCGAACACTGAAAAGTTGAAAAGTCGGAAAATAGAAACACCCAGAGTTCGAAAATCCCAGAAATAGAAAAATCTTCAGAAAAGCCAAAAATGGATAATTGAAAAATTAAAAAATCCAGAACTCGAGAAATGAAAAAAAACGAAAACTAAAAAAATGGAATATACAAAAACTGAATAATGGAAAAATTGAAAACTGACAAGTAAAAAAATAGAAAAATAAAAACTGAAGATTGGAAAATTTGAAAAATCGATAATTCAAAATATCAAAAATCGAAAATTTTAAAAATTCGAAAATTGGAAGATCGAGAAATCGAAAAAGAACCAAATTCAAAACCTAATATTCGAAAAAACGAAAATCCCAAAAAGCAAAAATTCGATGAATTAAATATTCGAATAATCGAAAACTGAAAAGTTGAAAAATGGGAATATAGAAACATCAAGAGTTCGAAAATCGCAGAAATAGAAAAATCTTCAGAAAAGTCAAAAATGGATAACTGAAATAAAAAAAAATTCAGAACTCGAGAAATTAAAAAAAACGGAAAGTAAAAAATTGAAAAATACGAAAACTGAGTGACGGAAAAATTGAAAATTAACAAGTAAAAATTAGAAAATTAAAAACTGAAGATTGGAAAATTTGAAAAATCGAAAATTCAAAACATCAAAAATCAAAAATTTGAAAAATTCGAAACGGAAGATCGAGAAATCGAAAAAGAACCAAACTGAAAATCAAATATTCGAAGAAACGAAAATTCGAAAAATCGGAAAAACGAAAATTCGAAAAATCTCAAAGACGAAACACGGAAAAATCAAACTTAGAAAATCGAGATTTTGAAAAATCGGAAAACCAAGAATCGAAATATACAAAAAATGAAATATTGAATGTCGAAAAGTCGAAAAATCGAAGGATTGAAAAATCGAAATATGCAAATTTAAGAAAATGAAAATTCGTATATCGAAAAATCTAAAATTGAAAAACGAAAATCCGAAAACTCGAGAAAAATTCAAAAATTGGGAAAATGAAAAAGCGAAATTTAAAAAACTTAAAATTTGGATTTCGAGAAATGAAAAAATCGAGAATAGGAAGTCGCGAAATCAAAAATTCGATTAATCGAAAACTGAAAAGTTGAAAAATCGGAATATAGAAACATCAAGAGTTCGAAAATCGCAGAAATAGAAAAATCTTCAGAAAAGTCAAATGTATAACTGAAAAATTAAAAAAATCAGAACTCGAGCAATTAAAAAAGAAACGAAAAGTAAAAAATTGAAAAATACAAAAACTGAATAACGGAAAAAATTAAAATTGACAAGTTAAAAAATAGAAAAGTAAAAACTGAAGATTGGAAAATTTGAAAAATCGAAATTTCAAAACATCAAAAATTGAAAATTGGAAAAATTCGAAAATTTAGAGATCGAGAAATCGAAAACCAAATTGAAAACCAAATATTCGAAAAAACGAAAATCCGAAAAATCGGAAAAATGAAAATTAGAAAATCGAGATTTTGAAAAATCGAAAAATCCAAGAATCGAGATATACAAAACATGAAATATTGAATGTCGAAAAGTCGAGAAATCGAAAAATCTAAGGGTTGAAAAATTGAAAAATAGAAATTTAAAAAAATGAAAATTCGAATATCGAAAAATCGAAAATTGCATGAATCAAATGTTCGAAAGATCTAAAACTGAAAAACGAAAATTCTAAAAGTCGCAAAATCGAAAAATCGGGAAAATGAAAAAGCGAAAAGTAAAAAACTGAAAATTCGAAATTCGAGGAATGAACCAATCGAAAATCGAAAATTCGAAATATCGAGAAATCGAAAGTTGCATGAATCAAATGTTCGAAAAATCTAAAATTGAAAAACGAAAATTCGGAAAGTCGAAAAATTGAAAAATCGGGAAAGTGAAAAAGCGAAAAATAAAAAAAACTGGAAATTTGGATTTCGAGAATTGAAAATATCGAAAATCGAGAGTCCGGAAATCAAAAATTCGATGAATTAGATATTGGAATAATCGAAAACTGAAAAGTTGAAAAATCAGTATATAGAAACATCAAGAGTTTGAAAATCGCAGAATTATAATAATCTTCAGAAAAGCCAAAAATGGATAACTGATAAAATTAAAAAATTCAGTACTCGAGAAATTAAAAGAAACGAGAAGTAAAAAATTGAAAAATACGAAAACTGAATAACGGAAAAATTGAAAATTGACAAACGAAAAAATAGACAATTAAAAACGAAAATCGGAAAATCGAAAATTCGAAAATCTAAAAATCCAAAATCGAAAAACCGAAAAATCAAAATTAGAATATCTAGAATATCTAGATTTTGAAAAATCGAAAAACCAAGAAACGAAATATACAAAAAATGAAATAACGAATGTCGAAAAGTCGAAAAATCAAATCGAAGAATCTAAAATGGGAAAAACGAAAATTCGAAAAATCTCAAAGTCGAAAAACTGAAAAATCAAAATTGAAAAAGCTAAAAGTAAGAAAGTAAAAATTCGAAAAACGAAAATCGACAAATCGGAAATTCCGAAAGTCGAAAAATCGATTAATCAAATATTCGAAAAATCAAAAATCGACAAATCGAAAAAACAAAAACTCGAAAAATCTAACATCGAGTGATCTAAAATTCGAAAAGTCGAAATATCGAAAATCGAAAAACGAAAAATTCTTCTTAACCTTAAAGTGTTCATGATTTGAGAGCACCAGTTTTTGCATTAAATGTTATACAATTTTGAACACGGAGTCATAAATCACACAAAGATGAGTATGCATTCTGTAAAATTTCCTCCCTCCCTGAAGTTTGATTTCGCTAAGTTTTATTTATTTTTTTTTGACAACCCATATAATTTAAAAAATATAGATAATGCCAGTCACAGTCTGAGAAAAAAAGTGTTCAGTCCTCAATCAGCAGATCGACCCGGCGAGTTATTATGTATTTTGGATTCTTTTAGGAAAAATCAGGTTGCTTAGAGTAAAAACTCAAAGCGTATTCATGAACCACAAGTACATGAGTATGTTATTTTGTAAAATTTTCATGAAATTTATCAAGCAAAATTTGAGCTGACGTCATCAAATCAGTGGTGGGGATGATTAGACAAATTTTGGTTAGCGGCCTCTTACCATCAATAGAATATTCTTAACGCAAGTACATACTAAATTGACACAGGACACAGACTGACCGGCGACAGACAGACGGAAACGAAAGACCTATTTTTTCATTCTCTAAGGGTCGTGAAACGTCGAGAAATCATTAAAATAACCCTTCGACGGATGTGGCAAAAAACATGGAAAAATTAATGGTTTGAGTATGGCATGAAAAATATTTTCTATCTACTAGAGTTTTAATATCTGGTATGAAAAATATTTCACTTTCGTGTATTTACAGGCTGCCAAAGACATTAAAAATATAATTTGCATCTTATTACACAAGCAATGTTTTAGATACGGCCTGAATTTTTTCAAGACTGTGTTGATACTCTTCTTTTTTTGTAATAACGAAAAGCTATAGTTTAATTTTATTCAATTTAAAAGTGTATCAAACGAAAATTGTATAAAAATTTTATTTATTAATCATCACATTTCTCATTTAGCCCAAAAATATAGTTGTTATCAGTAAATCAATACAATGAGTTCCACAAAATTATTTTATTGCGATTGTAGAAAAAAACTTGCTCCCGAGGGAACGGTTCTAAAAATTTTCCCGGCGCCTCCACCATTCTCACACATACTAGCTCTAACGTTTTTAAAATGAAAGCATAGTGTAAAAACGAATAATTTACGCATTAATAAGCAAAAATAATTTATTAGAATATTTTTTCCTTCAACATTAACCTTAGTTATTTGATTATTATTAGAGAAAACGAATTTGTAGATTTGACTTGGTGTCTGCAGCAAGTCGCTCACTATTAATATTGTGCAACGGCTATAGTAAAAATTTTGTATTAGACAAGTAGAAAAAGCCACTTTGGCGCTTTGAGTGATTTCGCTTCGCGCCTCGCGCTAAAACTTGTCATTTCTCAGCCTTATGCAACAAATAAGTGCTTCAAACCGCTCTTCCATCGCATCTAACCGTATTTCGGCCCTTGCAGGTGCTAATTCCGGCGCCGTTTTTTGCTCCACCATCTGCAATCCATAGCACATCGCCGTTTCCATTATAGGTAATATCGGGAATTGTAATATTTCTCCGCCCTTAATTAATGGAAATTGTAAAAGGCACGTGTTACATGAACTCCGACCAATAAAAGTCGCGCCGCCGCGTCCATGCCATCTCGCCTCAACTTTTACAATTATTTTTTGATTTGTTTCTTCAGTACTGAATCCATTATTGAGTTTCCCTGATTTATTTGTTTTGCCTCGGCCGATTTGCATATTGATCCGGCGGCTCATGTTTTATGTAGCCGTTTAAGACATTTGCTTTCAGGTTTCCTCTATTATTTATTTTTAATTTCTGACGCAGCCTCTGTTGACTCAAGACGTGCAAAGTAATTCTTTCGAGCACCCACTCTGCCCGATATTATTTACTTTAGCGAGGCTAAACTTTGCTGAAACAATAACCGCCTCGGCGAAAACGGGATTATTTTTTCTCTTTGCCTCTTACCTGTTTATTTGCGCGGGCCAAGGCGTGGATCTCGCGCTGCAGGATCGGCAGATGCGTCCGCAGGAACGGCAGGACGAACGGCCGCAGGGGGAAGTTGGTCACGTCCTGCAGGGAGTGGTGGAATTCTTCTATGCTCAGGTTGGAGCTCTGTGGGTGACCACTTAGTAAATGGATTTTTCTACTAAACGATTTCATACGTACAACTAAATTAAGGACCAGACTGCGGACTCTCTCCCCAATGTCGGCCCCGATGTCGCTCCCGAACTGTACCAACGTGCTCAGGAACCTTTTGACTTTGACCAACGGTCTGGTGATGTTGGAGTAGTTTCCGTGGTACTGCTGGGCTTGGGAGGCCTCTAGATTTACGGAAAGAGCGGTAGAGGCAGGCAGTGGTGGTGTCAGACTATCAGTAGAGCCGTTGTTGACAGGTGAGGAAGTACCATTGGTGGGGTGGCGCGGGGGCGATGATTGTGTGGGGGAGAGAGGGGCTGCCGCCTGGCGGGCTCCTTCGGGGGAGTCGGGTGTCTTACAGCGGTCTTTCGTTGTCACTGCAACAAAAAACACAAAGTCAAAAGGGGTTCAACTAGAAATAGATTAATTTAAAACTGGCTCTAGAAGCTCTAGCTAGTCACTGTGAAAATAATTTTAATTTGACATGTAAGGTGTTTGTTGCAAAAATGGTGCATCTAAACTGAGCACATAGAATTATTATTATTAATAATAATACCTTAGTTGAAAGGGTAATAGACATAGTTAGTTTTAATTTGTAAATGTTTAGTTAAGTCCAAATATGTATTATCCAAGTTATAAATGTCGTAAGAAATGATATGAGTGTGTAAAAAAACGAATTTTTCTTGCATATTTTGGCAATTTTTGGAGTTTTAACTCCTTTCTTGTCGTAATATAGAACATGTATACGCGTCGGAATAGGAATGTCGAGTTCCAGCTGCGAGGTGTCGGTGTCGGTGTCGGTGTCATTTACTCATCACATATGAAACAGAAATTGATTGCCACGATATAAAAATATCAAGATGCGGCAAATACAACCAACCAAAAAAGTAGACGCAATGGGCAGACAAAACAATTTGATTTTCCAAAATTAGTTTTATATTTTTGATAAAATTAGAATGAATCTTAAGGATTCCTTGTGGTTTGCTTTTGAAAGATTTTTATAGAATTTTGAGCACCTATAGTGGTTCAGTTTTGAAACAGATTGAAGGAAAATCGGATACGCCTGGAGTCTTTTTATTCAAGAATATGAACATGTTTTATTCTTGAAAGTATCTGGAAACATCTTGGACTCTTCTGGCAGATAAAAGATTCTCATGAGGTCCCTTGCCATTTTTTTAAGAATTTGAAAGATCTTGAAAGTTCCTTATATTTTGTTTTTGAAAGAATTTGAAAATTCTTCCTATTCCGTTGTTGATAGAGTATAAAGGCAAATTGAGATTCCCTTTTTTTTCGTAACAGGTATGAAAGAAACTTCGGGACTTTGTTTTTGAATAAATTTGAAAATATCTGATGGGTTTTTCGTAATAATTTGAAAAAACTTTAAAGGTCCCGGTTTGATTTTGAAAGAATTTAAAAGAATATAAATTTAACTTTTTCCTACAGTCTTTTATCAGCAAGCAACATCCCTACCCACTCACCCCCTCTTCATTCCAGTGATTACTTTTAATATTGTTCAGTCATTTATCAAAATCCGTCTTATCCTAACAAATACTAACCACACCCACCCACCCTCTATTGTCCTAGAGGGTTAAAATTTGCTACAATGATTCTTATCTTGGCAAGCGTCAATCGTAATTTTTTTGTTATACTACTTGCTATAAGACTTATTTCTTATTTCAGGAGAAAACAATGAGAACACGGGTGGGTGGGCGGGGCTAAGTTTAATTTTTTCCTCTAGAGTGTTTTAAAAGCAAGAAATAGCCCCGCCCACCCACCCCCTCTTCATTCCAGTGACTACTCTTAATATTGTTCAGTCGTTTATCAAAGTCAGTCTTATCATAACAAATACTAACCCCACCCCACCCACCCTCTATTTTCTTAGAGAGTATGTAATTTGCCACCATCATTCTTATCTTAGCAAGCGTCAATCGTAATTTTTTTGTTATACTATTTGCTATAAGACTTATTTCTTATTTCAGGAGAAAACAATGAGAAAACGGGTGGGTGGGCGGGGCTAAATTTAACTTTTCCTACAGAGTCTTTTATCAGCAAGCAACATCCCCACCCACTCACCCCCTCTTCATTCCAGTGATTACTTTTAATATTGTTCAGTCATTTATCAAAATCCGTCTTATCCTAACAAATACTAACCACACCCACCCACCCTCTATTTTCCTAGAGGGTTAAAATTTGCTACAATCATTCTTATCTTGGCAAGCGTCAATCGTAATTTATTTGTTATACTACTTGCTATAAGACTTATTTCTTATTTCAGGAGAAAACAATGAGAACACGGGTGGGTGGGCGGGGCTAAGTTTAATTTTTTCTTCTAGAGTGTTTTAAAAGCAAGAAATAGCCCCGCTCACCCACCCCCTCTTCATTCCAGTGACAACTGTTAATATTGTTCAGTCGTTTATCAAAGTCAGTCTTATCATAACAAATACTAACCCCACCCACCCACCCTCTATTTTCTTAGAGGGTATGTAATTTGCCACCATCATTCTTATCTTAGCAAGCGTCAATCGTAATTTTTTTATTATACTATTTACCAAAAACTTATTTCTTATTTCAGGAGAAAACAATGAGAAAACGGGTGGGTGGGCGGGGCTAAGTTTAATTTTTTCCTGTAGAGTCTTTTATGAACAAGCAATAGCCCCGCCCACCCACCCCCTCTTCATTCCAGTGACTACTCTTAATATTGTTTAGTCATTTATCAAAATCAGTCTTATCCTAACAAATACTAGCCCCGCGTAGAAAACAGTGTGTGTGCGATTTTTCAAAAACTTTAAAAAATTTTTGAAAATCTTGGAGTTTCACGTTCTCTCTCCGTTTTGATGGAATCTTATTTACAAAATCCTTCTTGGTGTGTTTTCTGTTTGGGATACCTTTCCCAGAAATTAGCGCTGTGGAGTACCACTAGGGTCTAATATCGAAGTGTTCAATGTATACAGACGATTTTTTTGCAAATTAAAAATGTTACTGACTGCGAAAAATTACAACGTAGTCCCTAAAAAGCCTTTGAATGACCTTAGCTTAGGAAAATAAGCGGAATAAGAACTTCCAGTTTCACACATTTGATGAAATTAATTCAGGCCTTAGATTAAAGAACTCCCATGTTCCAAATGCAGCAGCTCAAAAGACAAAACAAAAAATAAAAAGAATTTTAGAAAACCTACAAACATTAAATGTCTGGACAAGAAACAAACCAAAATTCAACAAAACAGGCGGAATATGAATGAACTGATTCGACTTGTTCTGACCTGACCTAACACGACCTGAACTGACCTAACCTGACCTGACTAGACTTGGTTTGATCTGACCTTACGTGACCGGACATCACACAACAAAATAGAAGGCTGGTGGGCGGACCTCCATTATCTTAGCGGGTATTTCATTTGCCAAAACGATCTTATTTTAGCAGGTACAACCCCGCCTTCCCGCCCTCCATTTCTTAGAGGGATCTCATTTGCAAAAATCAGTCTTATCTTAGCAGGTACTAGGCCTACCCACCCACCCTCTTTTTTCTTAGAAGGTATGTGATTTGCAAAAATCAGTTTTATCTTAGCAGGTGCTAGACCCGCCCACCCACCCTTGCTTTTCTTAGAAGATATCTCCTCTGCCAAAATCAGTTTTATGTTAGCAGGTACTAGCCCCACCCACCCACCCTCTCTTTTCTTCGAAGGTATGTCATTTGCCAAAATCGGTCTTATTATAGCAAATATTCGCCCCGCCCACCCAGGCTGTTTATTATAATGTGAATTATATGTTCGTTTGTAAAGTGGGAATGGCAACTAATAGAACGTAGACTGTTAAAAAAAAGCGTCAATCGTAATTTTTGGAAGAGACTGAGATAACATTACCCAACCAATCTTATCTTGACATGTACTAGCCCCGCCCACCCACCCTTTATTTTCCTGGAGAACAAGCCCTTTGCCAAAATCACTCTAATCATGACAAATACTAGCCCCACCCACCCGCTCTTTATTTTCTTAGAAAATAGGTCCTATTTCAAAATCAGTCTCATCTTGACAAGTACTATCCTCGCCCACCCGCCCTTTATTTTCTTAGAAAATAGATCCTTTTCCAAAATCACTCTAATCATCACAAATACTAGCCCCGCCCACCCGCCCAATTTTTTTGTTTAGAATATATGTCATTTCACAAAATCAGCTTATCTTTGGTTTTGAAAGAACTTAAAATAACCTTGAAAGTCTCTAGTGTTATATTTTTGATAATATTGGAATGAATCATAGGGATTCCTTGTTCTTTGCTTTTGAAAGATTTTTTTAGAAATAGGCCCTTTTCCAAAATCAATCTTATCTTGACAAGTACTAGCCCCACCCACCCGCCCTTTATTTTCTTAGAAAATAGGTCCTTTTCCAAAATCAGTCTCATCTTGACAAGTACTAGCCCCGCCCACCCGCCCTTTATTTTCTTAGAAAATAGATCTTTTTCCAAAATTACTCTAATCATCACAAATACTAACCCCGCCCACCCGCCCTTTATTTTCTTAGAAAATAAGTCCTTTTCCAAAATCAGTCTCATCTTGACAAGTACTAGCCCCGCCCACCCGCCCTTTATTTTCTTAGAAAATAGATCCTTTTCCAAAATTAGTCTAATCATCACAAATACTAACCCCGCCCACCTGCCCAATTTTTTTGTTTAGAATATATGTCATTTGACAAAATCAGCTTATCTTTGGTTTTGAAAGAACTTAAAATAATCTTGGAAGTCTCTAGTGTTATATTTTTGATAATATTGGAATGAATCATAGGGATTCCTTGTGCTTTGCTTTTGAAAGATTTTTGTAGAAATAGGTCCTTTTCCAAAATCAATCTTATCTTGACAAATACTAGCCCCGCCCACCCGCCCTTTATTTTCCTAGAGAACAAGTCCTTTGCCAAAATCACTCTGATCATGACAAATACTAGCTCCGCCCACCTGCTCTTTATTTTCTTAGAAAATAAGTCCTTTTCCAAAATCAGTCTCATCTTGACAAGTACTAGCCCCGCCCACCCGCCCTTCATTTTCTTAGAAAATAGATCCTTTTCCAAAATCATTCTAATCATCACAAATAAAGTCCCCGCTCACCCGCCTAATTTTTTTGTTTAGAATATATGTCATTTGACAAAATCAGCTTATCTTTGGTTTTGAAAGAACTTAAAATAATCTTGGAACTCTCTAGTGTTATATTTTTGATAATATTGGAATGAATCATAGGGATTCCTTGTGCTTTGCTTTTGAAAGATTTTTATACAAATAGGTCCTTTACCAAAATCAATCTTATCTTGACATGTGCTAGCCCCGCCCACCCACCCTTTATTTTCCTAGAGAACAAGTCCTTTGCCAAAATCACTCTGATCATGACAAATACTAG